GAATGAACCCTACATACTTTTGAGAAAACGTGAAATGCAGAACATGCAGAGGCGACTCACTTCGGAGGAAATGGAGGGAATTCCCTTGTACGTAGATGAGAAAGCGGCGCTGTGGACGGCGTATTAGTTGTAAAATACAACTCAGATTCTGAAAAAAACCATGAAGCTTTCCATCTCTGTGAATAAATAGCTGCACTAACTTTCTGAAATGTGCGAGGGAAACGTGTTAAGATGTAAAACAATTACCAACTTTGAATAGAATAATGGATATCTTCCCGAGATCTCGAAAAAAATAGATGTGCTATTGGTGCAGTAGTCAAGTCTGTAATAGTGATAATATTTTCGTCGAAGCACAGAATGTCTAATATGAGCTCACCTAGAATTGCTTTATGCGTTTCCTCATCCCATACATCGTCACAGCAAAGCTTCGGGATATACGATGTTTTTGATCGCATTTGTAGATGAGTTGACCCTTATTCCACTTGGAGTCCTTGCGCGTGAAAGGGCAACGTATAGTTGTCCGTGAGAAAAGACATCCTGTGGGAGATATACGCCTACTTTGTCGAAAGACTGTCCTTGTGCTTTATTAATTGTCATTGCAAAAGCTATTCGCACAGGGAATTGTCTTCTGCGAAGTCGAAAAGGAACTCGCTTTTCCCAATAGTTGTCGATTCTCGGAATGATGGCGAGTCGGCCTGTTCTGTCTCCGCAGATAAACGTGCAACCAAGTGTGAAACGTCCTAATGTTTCAACTCTCAACCGGGTTCCATTACAGAGGCCATTGGTTACATCGAGGTTCCTCAGCAGCATCACAATTGTCCCCTTCTTGAGATGCAGCTCATGTGGCGGCATTCCTGTCGGTGTCAGGGAATTTATATATTCCTGCTGGAAAAGTTGATTATACTGTCCTTCCGAGTAAATTGCTTCATCGATACTCTTGTACGTTTTTTCGTATTCGGATCTTTCCACACGCAGACGATCAAGGGCTATGTCGTTTAAGCGCTGTACGTGGACATTCTTTGGCGCAAGTAATGGCACGCTCGCACAACTCAGACGTCCTTTCCGGGTCGAGGGTGGCTCCGAATATCTCTGTAACTATGTCAGAAGAGCACATCATCTCTTCAGGCATCAGCACACAATCATTGACATCGTTGCAGTCTCCGTTACCTATTCCAAGAAGACGTTCATGCCAGTCATCTCCAGCATCTCTTGCTCTCATATTGACGGTCAGGTGGTGAATTGCAAACAGCGACCAAAGAGCAGACTTATGAACGCAAGCATCAACAAAGTCTTCCCTTTGACCATGCTCGACTACTGGCAAGACTTGACGGAAATCTCCACCAATAATCATAATCTTTCCACCAAACGGCTCACTATTTTGCATGATGTCCTTTAAGAGGGCGTCTACAGCTTCCAGTGCCACTTTTGGCGTCATGGAAATTTC